AATTAATATCATTACGTTTTATGAATTTATAATATGACAATTAGAATATAATAATACATATAATTTATTTTTTTAACAATATGAAAAATTCAATAATAATCGTATATAAATATTTTTTAACATGTATAAGAAATATATAATAGTTTAAATAATAAACTAAAATAAAAAAAATAAATAAAATATAAATAGTAAATTAAAATATTTATAACATTTCATTATCATGTAGAAACAAGTTAAAATGTGAATTTTGAAATTCGAATTAATATACAGAGTTATTAATACAGAGTTTTATTAATATTATTTTATAGAAATTTGAAATGTGATGTAAATATAATATTTTGCAATAATCAAATTCGAATATCTCGTTTAATCATCATCAAGAAAAAATATTCGCACTGCCATAAACTGTTTAACACGTTTCTTCGAAATACAGTTTGCGGGAAAAGCCCATGTGAGTCACCCCTCACAAATGAAGTGAAAGTTAGGTTCCGCCTTGAGGACTATGTTAGTTTCTGATTAGAATTATATCACGAGCACATATTTCAAAGCGTAAAATTTCGAATTTAATCAACAAAAATGGAAAGTTTTGAAAAGTTTTCACAATTTAAATTATAAAAATATAAATTATATATATGTAGAGAAAGAAAAATAATTTCGCAATAAAACGAAATCGAAAGGAAAAAATAATATTTTTTCATACGAGAGATATTCGTTTATTTTTTTTTTTTTTTTTAGAAATTTGAATTTACAAATTTTAAATTCATCAATTTATTTGCTAGCTTTGAAATCAAAATTTCAAATTTCGAAATTTATTGTTGGAAAATAAAATCAATTGTACTTTTAACAGTTCTTTTTTTTTTCAAATATTATACATTTCTATATCCTGTTAGTTCTTTTAACAATTCTGATTACAATTATTATTGTTAGAATATAATAATGTATTGAAATTTTTTTTTTTTTCTTTATTTAAGAACATAGATATTAAAGAGAGAATCATGTGAGAGAAATATGAAGATTTTCTATATCAATTGCCTAGAATAAAAATTTCAATGCATCGTAACAGCACCGAAGAGAGTAAACAGGTCTAGACGCATGCGGACAGTGTATTGATTACTAACCAAAGTAAGAGTACAAAAACCAAAAATGCTGAGAGAGAGAGAAGTGATCAGCGAAGGATATATTATCAAAATCGAGATGGTGAATTAATCTCTATGCTATTTTTTATTTTTCAACGTATCTTCATTTTTATTTGAATCTTTCAGAAGACCCAATATTTATATTAGAATTACCCAATATTTTTTGCTAAAAATACATATACGTTTCTCGAATAATATGATTTATATCATTCCTATTTTTATATAAATATATATTTTCTTTTATTATTCTATATTTATTCATATATTTTAAACCATGACTTTCATCATCTTCTTTATAGAATATACATTATATAGAATACAAAGAAATATCTTAAAAGTATATTAATAATCTTAAGAAAATTAAGAAAAAATTAATCCGACAAAAAATTTCTTTTTTAGAATATTCCTTATTAAATATTATCGAATTTAATCTGATTCAAATTGTATCATAAACAATTCGTCTCGTGAAAAATAATCCTTTTAGCTAAAACATTATGTATGTATTCATTTGCTTACGTTATAACATTATACATTTATAATTCGCATTATGTTATTCCACGATAATTCGATGTGATCGACTGACAGTATCTAATATCTAATATCCAGACATTTTATTATGTTAGACAGTTCGATCGATTATCTATATTTTCCGGCGAGTGCATCGACCGTGAGGGCAATCAATTATTAACTCTCTGGATTGTAATCATCTTATTCGATCGTCTGGATTTTCAAGGAAATGTAATCATCCGTTTCATCATATAACGCAGATATAAAATTGCAACGCGTCTAATACAAATATTATTAATTTCGACGATTGATAATAACAATTTTTTGCAAAATATTATCTTCGAAAAATCATCTAACCTTGATGATCTCGTACAAATCTCGTACCTTCTCGACCTTTGATACAGCTGATGTGTCTATTTACAGTTTAGTGGAATCGTAGAATCGTATCCAACGATTATTGGAAATCTGTGGCGCGATTCGGAAGATGGTAATATCGGTATTAGCCGAAATACACGAGGCAATTTTCACACGGGATAATCAGTTGAATATAGATCGATACGACGAAACAATCGTTAATGATAAAAAATCTATTCTCACTTAGAAATTAGCAATAGAAATTAGCAATTGATAATTTGACGATTAACCACTATTACTATAAAATCATTGTTATATAACCATTAATTTCTTGGATCATCAAAAGGAAAACGTTTGAATGATTAATATTTCTAACCGTAAGCATTATCGATCTCGTGAACAATTAAACACGCATTAAAAATTAAATATTTATTTTCAATCATTAACGATAAAACGCTTTCCGTTCGTCGATCAAAATTAATGATTAAACGTCTTTTTATCAATCGCAATTATTAAATTAAATTCTATTTTAATCGTTTAACTCGGAACGATAGCGATAACAATCGCGGTTCTTTTTCATGTTCACGTTTCACATGATAAATTTTTTGCATCCGGGAACGAGATTTTCGAAATGGGATTTCGAAAACGATATGGAAGGCATTTTTTTTTTTTTTTTACGTGTACATGTGGACGTTTACATGACAAAGAATTTGATATAGGTACATCGTGATCGATAGATGAAAAAAAAAAAGGAAAACAAATTTTTACGGCTTTTGTACATGAGTTTTTGTTCCCATATTGCACGAATAGCAACATTTCCAGGTTAAACTGTATGAAAACCACTACCACGTTCATCGAATTATTGCGGAATGGCAGATGGTTGTCCACTGATCGCATCGAATCAATTTCGATGCGCTGGTATGCGTTAATGGACAAATAGAAAAATATAGAGGATGTTCAATGATAAATTCATTTTCGGGGTGAGTTTAGTTTGGAAAAGAAACGAGAAAAGTTTAAACAAATTATTGTATCTTCCTTGACCTCGTTTTCGACGTTATAACGCGTTACAGTAATTCGTTCGATAAATATAGTCGATTGAAAACAATTGAGTTTAATTCCGCTTAATTTATAAATATAACTCGACATTTGATGTACAATCTATATTTAGTAGTTTAATTCTGTAAATATTTTATCTACGTGAAACGTAAATATTTTTTGAAAGGTATTATTCCATCTTATAATTTACAATTGTAAATGCCTTTATTAAACCAGAATATGACATTTTATTTTCATTAATCTATATTATTTACATTAAATTTCAGATTTATATAATTAACATATGAATGTATTTATGTACTAATATGTCATTTAACAGAATTGGCTTAAATAGGAATAGTTACCGTATACTATCTGAAACTAGTAGATAATGCCTATGTATTTTGTGGGATTATCGTTTCTAATCCTTTGGGCTCAATTTATAATAACCTATCACAGAATTTACTGTAACATATATATATAAAACAACGTAGTTACAATGAAATATAATATATGATAAAATCGTTAAATAATGTATTTCAAAAAATAAATAAATTTATAATATAATTTAATTAAATCATCTAAAAATTAAAAAAAAAATGAATTTTGAAATTATAGCCTCAAAGATAGTGACTTCCAGTGAATGAATAATCATTAATCATCAATCATTAAAAGCGCAAAACATTATCACAATACACACTTTATCACAATATAGACTTTATCACAATTTCCGGTTCTTAAGATATCGTGTAAATAATTTTTCATCATTTAAATTTTACTAAAATTAGAAAAACTTAAACTTTGAATCTGTAAAACTTCGAGGATAGTAACTTTCGATCAACGAATAAACGATATTCATTAGAAGAATAAAATCTTATCCTTTAAAAGGCTTTCTCATTTATCTTGATGTGACTTGCCGAGATATCATTGTAAAGAAAAGGATAATTTTTAATTTCGTTTACTTTATTTCATTCTTATTCGGATTTCTCGTTCGCACCTGTTCAAAACTCCAGATAAGTAATAAAAAAAATTAAAGTCTGGAAAAATGTGATAGCCATTTCACATCTTAGAAAGATGTAATATTTTTAAAAAAAATCTGGATAACGAGTCCATTCATAATCTCAATTGCATTATCTCAAGAGTTATGGAAACTTTGAATCTTTATATCTCGACAACCAATTGAGATGTTGGAATAAAATAAAAATGACTTGAACATGTTTTCCTTTATTTCCTGAGTATATTTTGATAACGAAACTTTTAGTTTATTCTCATTTTTTAAACGAAAAGTCAAAGTTTTATTTGTAAATAAAATAATACTATTGCAATGCTATAAAGTACATAGACATGTAATTTAATGATTTGCATAATACAATTGTATTTTCTGTATCCAAGTTAGAATATTTAGACACGTTTTAGCTTAATATAAAAATTTGCAAAAATTTTATATTAAGTAATTAATTTATTATAAGAATTGTTCGTTCATATCGAATGGGCAGATATTAAGTTCACGTATGACCGAGTATAACCGAAGAAATTGTTGGAGAAGCTTAGCTAGAGATCGCGAGAGACTTTCCCCCAGAGGTGATGTTCTCCTAAGAGTACATTCATTTCGGTGAATCGTTGGCTTAGGAAATCTACATATTTCTCACCTAGTGGAATTAACCGAGAACGAAGCAGACATGCTTGAACTCCTGGAGCAATATTTCTCAATAACTTTTAATCCTCTTTTATAACAAGGCAAATAAGCTTCTTCCCTTCTCATGCTTAAAATTGAATTTTTAATAAGAACTATTTCAGAATTTTATTCGCTAATACAGTTGTTCTCTATTGTTAATTAATAATATCAAGGAAAGTGAATAAAAAAAAAAGAAATCATTTAAGATTTTTAATTAAATGGCTCGTTTACGATGCAATATGCTCGTTATTATTTATTTTTAAATCCTTTTTTTTCTTTTTCTTTTGTTTCAGTGGCTGGGTTTGGGTATTATGGCTGTAGGTGTATGGGCATGGACCGAAAAAGACACATTCAACAATTTGTCTAGGCTCACGAATGTAGCACTCGATCCAGCATTTATCCTCATTCTAGTCGGTGAGTAATAATTTATATTAGTTCTCTTTCATTTAAAATTTTTGATCCATTTAAAACTTGTTGATTTATGCGAATGAAGATATCTGAACAAGTGTCAAAGTGCTTTAGCCTCATCGATGAAATTTCGAAGTAATATTCTCGTGTCTTTTAAGCTTTCGATAATTCTTCGATTAAGATAAATATCGTTAATGTTATCGTTGGTAAAATTTAAGAATGAAAAGATATTTCCTTTAATTGAAAGTCCGTTTCATCTTTGTAGCGTCTTAATTGACACCTGCGGATTTTTTTTTTTTTCCTTCTTAAGATGCAAAGTAACGATCGATTGTGTCTCAATCTTGGAATAAATTAATATTTGATGATTGAATTTTTTATTATATGATGTAATAAGTTTACAAATATATTCACAAGATTTTTACAAAATGATATGATGTTATTAAACTATTAATAATATTATTGTGAAAAAAAATATATTTATCGTGATAATTTGCGATCAATTAATTTTTAAATTATCTTTGCAAAAATTGCACTTTCAATTGTTCAATGATGGAAAGCCAAAGTAGGACAAGGATTCGTTTTAATGATTCTTCTTCAAACAAGAAAAACAGGAATTGATGATTGGTTCGTTTAATTCTTACACAAACTTTTAACTGTACAAACTCTTAAATGGAAGGATGGAGGTAGCGTAGGTAGATAAGTGCTCGTGACGAGCATCAAAAAGGGTGCGACGGTCTGATCTTTAAAGCAGGTCAGTTGTAATTGGGATGCACGAAGTTCCATCATACACAGAATTAAAAAAGAAGATTTTTATACTTGAAGTCAGTTGAAAAAGTCTGAGTAAACTGCAAAAAATTTATTCAACGCTTTAAAATTTCAATAGAGAAACTGATGAATATATTGATAGTGTTCTATTCAGAAATACAATGTTTATGTATGAATGATATACATTTATTAATAATTAAAAAGAAAGGAGAATGTAATAAAAATAAGAAAAAAGAAATATCCATATACTTAATATTTAAAATTCGATATTTAAAAATCGAATTAATTTGTTGTAATGATACAATTTAAAATTTACAGCTTACAGAATAAATGAATTATGAATACAGAAAAATTTCAAATTCTGTTTTTGAAATTTTTAACATATAAACGTACAAAATATTTAACATGTTTGTATTAATATTGTAATTTTCAAATTGTATCATTGTTGCAGCAAATGAATATATTTATATCTCTAATATCTTCGAAACAAAATGGCGAATTTATAAAAAAGAATAATTAATTTTACATAAATATCGAACTGTTTTGTTGATAAAAGAAAGGAATAGATCTTTGATTAAAAATTCTTTATAAATATTAAGAGAGGTTGATTTTTTCTAATAATAAATAGTAATTTTTTATGTTTACTTTTGACATGAGTGAAAAATATAGTTTTTTTAATAATCAATAATTTATAATATATGTATATAATCCAAAATTTAGTAATTCCTTTGTCAACTTTTGTTTCTTGCACCATATGTCATAATATGAACAGGTACCATATGATACCTGGACCATATGGATCCCTTAGCATTCAAAAAGTGGTCAAGGATTATGCATATTCCGTTTTGCATGCAAATGACTCTCATATCCTGTGTATTTTGTTATGTTCAAGTTTGCATACACATCCCTTTCTACAAAATATGTTAAAACGAGGTATAAAATCATTAATAAATTTCATTAAATTTTACTTATATACTTTGGTATTAAAAATAATAATAATTCCACGGAAATTTAAATTGAGAAAGATTATATATAAATCTCATTTATTTTATAATACATTTTCGAAAATGAATTTTCAAATTGGATTGTATCGAATGAAACTATAATAAATGTTAAAATATTCTTCTATAACGTTATTAATCGATATTTCATCTACATAATGTTTAATAATTGAAATTTCAATTAATAATTTTCGATAAAATACTACCTACATTATAATTGAAAAATATAAATTTTCCAATTTGTCCAGGATTTCTCGAGAAATGTCCAGAAATCCAAGATCACTAACTATATTATTATTACTAGCATTTGTTGTCTCATACTGAGAAGGCAACATGTTGTACGACGTAATAGTTGACCAACTGATTTTCCGCCATTCGAGGCTCAACAAAGCGCTGTAAGTCGGATTATCAGGGATGTACAGAGAGAAATTCCAACATAGAAGGCAGAAAGCTACTCGTGATCGGTTAACCGCGATGTAGCCGAGCATAATGGTGAGAATTCACGAATGTCCTACAAGTAATTCAAACATTCTGGCGGAGATCAGTTCCCTGGAATCGTAACAGACCAAATCGAATTTCCTCGCGATCTAGTCCACTGATTTCGAAAGGACAAAAATCAAGCGGAAAGGCTGACGGCCGACTTTGAAAAAAAGCAAAAATCCGATTTAAGGATAATCATTGTTCCGTTCCATTCGTCGTACAAAGAGCGCACTAACTCGTTTCACGGTGTTTATTTTAGATATTTAATCTATGAAAAGGATGGATCTTTTTTCTTGGTATTTTTTCTGTTTTTTATAATATAGTCCTAGTGTATAGATCATATTTATAGAAATTTATTTCGAATTTCTAATTATTATTTTTCTCTTTTTAATTATTTTTTAGCGATAATTTAATTCTAAAATTTCTAATTTTGGAAGAATTGAAGCAATGGATAATATGATAAATGGACTTTCTTTATTTTGAAAGATTGGAATAATTTAATCGAAAAAAATTATTCACACGTTTCTCGCTCTCATGAATTTGAAGATATACCGCAAAATTTAATCCTACTGACCGAACAATCAGCCCTGGGGAAAATTTCGTAGTTTATTATCTTCCCATCCTGTCCAAGAAAAAAAATCATCAAGGTTGCAGTGGAAGAGTACTTATTTACAATCATCAAATATGCTAATAACTTTTCAACAAATGTATATTTATAATTAATTCAATTGTAGAGAAATCATTAGAATTGCAAAATTATACATTTAGAATTTTAAATTATTTCGTATTTTATTTGATAAGAAAATATTATATAATTCTTATAAATTTCAATTATTATTTTTATTATTTTTATTATTATTGCATTATTATTGTATTATTTGTTTATTATTATTGTACTTTTTGCTTATATAATATAAAACAGTGAATCACACAATTTAAAGCAATTCAAATAATTTCAAAAGAAAAGAGCTAAATAAACAAATTATTACCATAAAGGTTATGATTGGGCGCAATGTAATCTGCTTTCAACAGGTTACTTAAAAGATTAAAACGGCTTTTCTTTATGTAACAAGGAAAACTTTATTTTTAACGAATGAAAGAATATTTAAAAGAATGTCATTTGCACAAAAATTGTGCAAAATTATTTCCCAAACCAATCTTTTATTATTTTTACATTAGCAGAAGGATTCGGTCGTAAAATATCAACGTGCAATTTAAAATATACATTTTAAATAGATTTTTGCTTCCTATTTACAGGCACAGTGACATTTATAATTGGATTTACGGGATGTGTCGGTGCACTCAGGGAAAATACGTGCCTCCTAGCTACGGTAAGCATTTAAACGTATAATAAAATATTTGTGAATTACATAACTTAATTAAATGAGCATTAAGCACAGATACTTTTTTTTTTGTAAGATGATCATATTATTTACATTAATAGATACGATTTAAAATTCTACGTATATTTTTGTTACATCATCTGTGAAAATTGTGAAAAATTTATAATAATTATTATTTGTAAGTATTATGTTTAATTTTGAAAATTTACAATATTAGTTTTTATAAATTATTACGACTAAGATGAATAGAAAATGAATATAAATAAAGATAAAAAATATATCTGTCAACTTATTATTTATAGTTACTTATTTATATACTATTTTTTATATATTATTTTAATGTTTAATTTTCTTTTTATTGTTATAATTATCCGGAGGATAATAGTGTAAATGATGATTTAAGTTTAATTTTTTATCGGTCATAAACTATTAGTCATCTGCGACGAAAAGATAGTGTAGAAGAACTTGGTTTAAGAGTTCTACAAACTGGCAAAGTTTCGTTAAAAAAGGAGAAAAAACTTAAATTGCTCCTTTTGTTACTACGAAAGTACAAAATCGGCTTTCAAGTTTTCTCAAGTACCTACATTGTATTTTGTCGCTTCTCGGGCAAAGAGTAAAATTAAATGAAATTAATAATGTTTGTAAAAATTATTCTTTGCGAATTAAAAAATTTGAAGAAAAGAAAAATCCTTTTTTTGATTTAAATTGTTGTAAAAACGTGTAAGTAATTTATAATGCTTTTCAAACATTTTTAATATGAAAATGATATTTCTAATTGTCATATACATATACTTATAACATTGTTTGTGAATTAAAATCTAATATAACAAAAGGAATTATAATTTTATACAACTTTCTTTCAGTATGCGATATTTCTGGCGTTACTATTGTTAATGGAGATGGCAGCTGGTATATTAGGCTTTATCTTTAAAGACTGGGTAAGTTTCATTAAATATTTATCTAAATGTGCATATGCGTACACATGTATTTGCATCTATATATATCTTATAAATGAATAAATGGCTCGTGTTATCAAAACCTGTTACTGAATTAAAATTTAAATATTAAACTAATTTGATGTGCAGATAAAGTCACAAGCGACTGGTGGATTCCAAGCTTTTATCATTCATTATAGAGAAGATCCTGATCAACAGAATCTCATCGATTGGATTCAAGAGGATTGGGTATGTATAATATCTTAGAGAATAATAAATATAAAAGAATTTTTAAAGTAGATAAACGTATTTGTATATTATTAGAAAAAGCTTATATTATTTGCTTAATTTTAACTGTGCGCAATGGTAATAAAGCTTGCAGATTTGTTAACAATGTTCTTTCAAAGGGATTAAAATAGTTTCGAGCATCGTTTTAAAGTTATAATTCTGCTATATCTTTATGAATTTATCGTTGCCATCCCTCTCAAAATATATATTTTAAGAAAACAGTTTACTCGACAAGTATAAATCTCATTATTGCTCTAATTTATTTATAAATTATTGCACACTAACACATGTCACATATACATGGTATGAGTATTTTGTAAAAAAAGTATAAGATACAAGAAATGTGTCTCAACAATTTACATTGGAATTGAATCGTTCCATTAATCTAATAAAATAAAACAAAAATCAAAATGAAAATTGCGATGTTAAAAATATCTAAGCTAAAGTCTTATCGCAGTACTCAATAATTAATGGTTTGCCAATCAATTGTGGTTTGCGAGATTTCAATGGAAACGCCGGCATGCCACCACAATTCCGGCAATACTGTCAATAGTGAAACTGCAGTACCAATCCTCTTTATCCTACGTTGATTCAAACCCTTGCAACATCATTACCACCATCGCTATTCCAGCTGCGCTTGCATTTCTATACGAATCGATGAAATACTTTGATTTTCTGACGATAGAATCGAACAAGGATCTTCTATTTTTCACGTTAAGGTCAATAATATGATTTAAAATATTAAATTGAAATAGATTTGAAATCTGTGACATCGATTGCTTTGCAGGATATTAGTAATCTTAAGAAAGGATTATTATTTTTTTTTTAAAACAAAGAAAGAAAAAGTGAAGGGATGGTAAATTGATGCTATCAAAAACTTTTTAAAGCCGCCAGTTTTTTTACAAGATCAAAAGAAGATATCTAGTATTTTATACATATAGCTTTTATGAACAGTCGTTAAAAAACTTCTTCTCTTCTCTTTAATAAGAACTTCGTAACTTGAAATTATCTAAATTATATCGATATCAATGCGTCATGCTTTTTCTTTTCTCCTTTTTCTTTTTTTATTTTGAAAATAAATTTATCGAAAATCGATTTCGATGAAAGTACGATAATACACTTTTTATCCATTTCACAGTTACAGTGTTGCGGCATCGAGGGCCCTAAAGACTGGGATCGCAACAATTACTTCAATTGTTCATCGAGCGACATCGGCTCGAGAGAAGCGTGCGGCGTGCCTTTTAGCTGTTGTAAACGAAAACCAAATGTAATTTCCGTTCTTTCCATTTTATATAAAAAATATTTTATAATTTTTCCTCTTTTTTTGTGTGTGTTTATAATTCAATTCAATTTGAATATTTTTTTGAAAACTGATTTAATTGCAATATAAATTTGTCTTGTAAATTGTTTAGTAATACTTTTTTTCTTCTTTTTTTTTTTTAACATTTTCAGGAGATTATCAAAAATAAACAATGCGGCTACGATGTTAGGAAACCTAGCTACGTGAGTAATTTTTTTCAAATAATTTTCATGTAATATTTAAGGCTAAATGTTGTGCTAAGTAAGCTCTTCGTCGTTAATTTATCGCATTGATCGTACCATTATTCGTCTATTTTGAAACGACATTTTCATTTTCACCATTTTCTGCGATTCTTCTCAAATCATTTCTCATTTCTCTGCTTTCTTTTTTTTTTTCTTCTTATTATTATAATACATCATATACTTTATTTATTAACATTCGTTAATTAATGACTTCGAGTATAGATATTGGTTAAAGTAAAAATAGTATCCGCTATTTCTTACGCTTTGCATTCTAAAATCTTAATAATATAGCGCAATAATTAATTTCTGAAAAATAAATTTATTATACAGAGTATATATTAAATTAGTAGTGTGCTCGTCGCATACAGGATGGAGTAAATATAATACTACATACTGTTTTCTTTAAAACTAATTTTTATTTTATATATAAATTATATACTATTTTATTTATTTATATACCTAAATCTTCCTAATATTCACGTAATTGTAGAATTATAGTGAAACTTAACATAAGAGGATATGGAAAAGATAAATTCAATGTGAATTCTTTTATTTTTCGTATCCTCTTAAAATATTTTTTACTATAATGCAATCAACTGTGCAAAACAGAGACAAAGTTTTAAAAAAGTGTTTAAAAAGATGTTTTATTCAACGACAGTTTACCATTCCATTTAAAAAAAAAAAAAAGAAAAAATTCCTTCTAATTCCTCGACTCGTTGTAAATTTTTATTATCTCCATCTTTTTTATTTTTAAATTTTTAAATTTCTCTCCATCTGTTCTCGTTCAATTCGGGGTGAACACGTTGTAACGCTTAATCCCCTCTACCTTGTATCCAAGTAGTTCAAAATTTTCTCCACTATTCGAATAGTTGTGGTTGTGCCAGCGAACATATAATTCACTGATAAGTAGGTATTACATTGGCAAACGTGACACGAGAGTGAAAGATAGAAAGGATAAAATAGCTAGCTGGTGACACAGTATTACAAAAGCTGGGTGTCGATGTTTGTACGCGTTATTAGCATGCCGCAGGCACGAATAAAGTAATCTTCTAAAGGCAAAATGACATTTGTAGCGTGGTGGTTTCTTTTCAATCATTCTGTTTATTCATATAACCCTGGGTAAACGCAGACTGGGGAGAGGAGTATATACGAGAGAGGCTGTCTAAGAGCAGGCGAAGAATGGCTAGAATTGAATCTCGTACCTGTCGCTGGTACGGTTGTCAGCACTATGGTTTTACAGGTACAATACATATTGAAATACGTACTTTTGATCGTATTACGCGAGAGTTCAAACTTTCTCCTCTGTATGATAATTTTCATTAAATTATGATTATCTGAATTTGTAATTCGAATAATAAAAGTGACAAAATTTTTAAAAAAAAAGGTTTGATAAGATGATCGTGAATAATGTAAAATTAAAGCACGAATAGCGTGTAAATTTTATAAAAAAAAAAATAATAAACAATTTGATTAAAAGAATTGGGAGAAAGTTTCAACTATTCGAAAGATGTATATCTTAGTCGAAATAACGAATTGCAAACATGGTGTCGCATGATAAATGTAAAGTGTACCATGTTTTAAGTATTTTCAATTATTTATTTTATCCCGCATCTTTTATTTCATTTGCTTAGAGCACATTATTTAATGATATATTCTCGTTGTGTTAATAACACGTGTATGACCAGGTGCACGTTTGAAAACGTTTTATTATTCACGTGGCTACGTTAAAAGCAAGTAAGTACGTAGGAGTAATTGAAAATTTTAATAAGCACGTGGACAAATTGGTAAACGATCCATATTTATAGTTCGTATATTTAGCTTAGAACGGTAAGTATAAATTGAAATTTAATGTTTCATTTGCGATATTATTGCCAATCTGGTAAATTACAATGCTCGTAATATGCTATATAATAATTGATTACAGATATTATCAATTTTGCAGTATTATTATATTTCAGTTTTAATGATATATGATTATGATATACGATACGAACAAAAGGACAAAGATTATTTTAATTTATTTTAATTTCTCAAGCAAAACTTTATTATTAATCGTTAATAAAAAAAAACATTTTTAACAATTAATTAAGTAAAATCGAATAAAGAAGATACAAAAGTATTAAACAGGAGAGAATAATTTTAGAATTTTTCAAAGTTTGGAAAAAATTTGAGGTGGACAAAATGGATCTTATGGGAAATACGAAATACCACGAGAGTACACAACACAGGATATGAAAGTTTTACTTTATATTAATCCCAGAATGAGCAATTTCGTCAATTTAATATTATATATAAAATAATATATGCACTTGAGCATATAACTACTCTTTTTTAATTTTCTTAGACGAAACAAATTTTATCTGAAAGTTTCTTAACATCCACGACTCGTTTAATCCATTTAATTCTTCCTTAATATATGATATAAAATGTATAACATTATGGATAGAAACGTAGGTGAAATATCCATTCCTAGCAGTATGATAAATGGACCACTTACATGAGCTTAAAATATGACATACATACACACACACACACACACATATATATATATATATATATATTTAGTAGATTTTCCTAGCTGATAATCAGGACAATAAATTATGACGAAGTTGCTGTATAATCGTGACATTTGGGAGATTACATTTCCTTCCTCGGTATATGTAATAAAAGTCTAGCGAAACGTAAACGACATGCAAGTGGTAAACGAATAAATATTTCAGCCGCGACTATCTCCTCGCTCTTGTCAACTATTAATTCATCTCTGTTGAATTTTGACAGGTGGCGTTATTATTTTCATGGAAATCCATTCTCGAAATGTTTGCATTTATATATTTAGAATTTTAAAGGTATAGCTATAATATTAGGTAGGTAATTTGCTTTAAATTTGTTGAAATTTAACCATTATTTTATTTTAAAAAAATATAAATTTACTGTAAAAATTAGTTTTAAGTATTTTTATTTCAAAATTATTTTGAAATTACTTTTTTCGCGGATGAAATATCTCACTGCTGTGTCGTTGCTATGGATATTCCGTGTATCATTCATTAGAATGCAAAATATAGTCTCTGAAAATTTAGAATATAAATACAGGCACACTATATTTCGATCATAAATTAAAATAATTCTGAAACGTAAAATTATCGATCCATTAACTCGAGGAAAAATAATTATACTTTCTAATTACTGAAAAATTGATAAATAACACGATAAAATATATGATAATTGCACAATTAATCTTTTGCGGCGGATGAATACCGCTACTACAGCGGCATCAAAGTTACAAAAATTAGATAAAAGTTCCAAATATATACAATTTTCACAAAAATTTAGATCTTTAATTTATAATTTCATTTCAGAAAATTTAATCTATCGAAAGTACAGAATGTTCGCTTGCAAAGGGTTAAAATATTAATGAACGACACTCGGAAGAAACAAATCTACCACTTATTAATTAATTCTAAAGCAGAACCAAATACGAACGATTTCTTTTCTGTTGTCGAAGTAGCAAGACGGAATAAATTAGCAGTTTTCATGTTGGCTAAAACTTCTGGATTGAAGACTCTTCAAGTAATTAGAGCATCTAACACCTTGCTAATGAGGGAGCCGCGCAACATCGCGATATCGTAATAGAAGCGAAGTCGCGAAAAAGGTTTCCGGTTGGAAACGGGGCGGAAAGTTAGACAGGGGGCGAAAGAAGGCAAAGAGAACAGGGTCGAAGCAGGGAGTTAAAAGCTTTGCGTGGTTACTCCCAACTCTAAGAGGTGGATGTAAGGCGGCTTGTAATAAAGTGGGCTTGTTACTTACCCTACGCGTACTGACGTGACATTTTACACAGACGGCTTGTACCCCCGGCTACTTTCTTATCAATTTCTCTTCCTTTTTTTCATATTTCGCAGACGAATAAATCGAAAAATTTTAAGTCCAAACAGACTATCGCTTATTTTTTTATGCTTGGAATTGGAATTAAAAAATTCAAAGACGAAATATTCATGGTTATATTTAAAAAAAAATAAGACTATTGGGTTAAATAATATTTTTTTTTTTATTATCGATCAAAGTGTTAGGTATTTATAATTGTCCATCTCAAGATATTTCCTCCTTTGTAGAATTGCAGTATATATTTTCCATATTCTATCCTAATAAAATAAATTTTTATTATAAACGATTCGCTTAAAATTTATTTTGCCGAATTAAAATCCAATATGATATTTAAATTAATTAATATTTTTTAATATTATTGGGTGTCTTTCAAAGCTCGTCATCCATCGTGATGAAATTCTTTAGAAATAATATGCCCCCTCCTCTTTAGTGGCCGCAACATCGAATTACACTTCTAAATTCTCCCACGCATCTTCCAAACATTCGATCCCGTGTCACCTGATAGCTACGTGACTTCGAGTCATCTAGCCATCTCTGAATATTTGGATTACTTATTCTCACGAGCACTTCTCTGCGGCCACACACAGTCTAGGTTAATTGGATCTCGTTTTAAGATAAGAAAAATTTGAACGATAAGTAAATTGGAATTTTTTTTTTATCGAAGAAAATGAAAAAGAAAGTTTTTTTTTTCCTTCTCCATTTTCTCATTTAGATTATATTCGTTGATTTAGATTAGATGATAGTTAGAATTAAAAATTAAACGATGTTATTAATTGAACGAATATTTTGAGAATTGCATAAGACGTGCGTTTATCGATAGATTTTTTTTATTTTTTTTTTTCATTTTTGAAGGAATTTTTCAATAAATTATTTTTCCATTAGTTACACAAAACTGCGAAGTTGGGATAGACGTAGACGAATGATGTACATACATCATTTCACGATATTACAAAACAAATACGACGAAAAACGTGTAAAACTTAGCAAGTCATGGTCATAAATGAACAAACAGGCCAGACAATATGTCTATGTCACTATCACTAAAGTGTTAATTTCTGAAAATTAAAGTCTCAAAAATATACAACAATTTTATCGTGACATCGAAGATTAAATTTATGATTTAAAAACCCAAACTGCAAATTAATCAACTTCATCAACTAAATCGTTTGAATTTCAGAAACTTAAACTGTTAATTTAACATTTTAATCTTAAAATTAAGAACTTTTCAAAAAGTTCAAGTCGATCAACTTGGCTTCCATTTTGGAATTGGTCGTACAACTCATTGATTATACTTCTTTCCTCTTCCATTCTATCTACTGTTTCCTTATTTTTTTTTTCTTTTTCTTTCTTTTTTGTTTTTCTCTCAACAAATTTCACGCTGTTTTCTAAACTAAATTGTGTTGGACTAACAACTACATTCGCGAGGTTCGAGAATACAACACGGTAAGCGAAAGTAGCCAATCGCCTTTGTTTTCCAGAACTTTGAAGTTGCCAAAGTGATTTATGAAAAAGGTTGTATTCAAGCTGGGGAGGAATGGGTCGAACGAAATCTTCTTGCGATTGTAACTGGGGCGGTTGCCACGGCCTTTGCGCAGGTATATTTTATTATTTTCAAATCACATCCTTTTTTTTTTTTTTTTTTTTTTGCTTCTTACGTAATCTTACATCTTCGTTACACATCGAAATTTCGATTTCTCGATATTCGCACGATTATCGAGTGGAATATTAAACAAACTATTTTACTTCATTGTTCATTCATCGAATTTATTATTGAAATTTGTTTTCCATTTTGTTTTTGATTTTAAAAATACTTTTGAAATAAAAATGAAACGTATGGTGAAACACTATAACGTACATATGTGCTATTCAAATAAACAGAATGGGATTGAATAAATGTTACAACGGGAATAGATGATTCTACGTGCACGATACGTAAATCGAAAAAAAAAAAGAATAATATTTTTTTCATTCGAAAGAAATTGAGAAAATTTGTGAATAATGAATACGTGAATTTGATTACAATTATTAGTAGAATGTTATTCTATATAATATGTCTATATATAATGTAGAACAAAATTTCAACACTTCAAAACTTATTCCATGATAAATTGAAATAACATTTTTCCAAAAATAATTCAATTGAGAATAATTGAGTCAAATAATTCGCATATGTATATCTCGCAAATTTTTAATTTCCATTTTTTTTTCCAAAAACCAAATCAAAAAAATGTTTTCCTTCTCGATTTATATTTCCACATGGAATTACGCGATTATACACACACAAAACAGATTCCATTCTGCTTATATATATACATATTTCAGCATGTATATACACGGAATGCTTGAAAATGCGATAGATGTTAATCGTTGCACGAGGCCAACGAAAAAAAAAAGTCATTTCACACATTAATTTGTGCCAAAATACAACTTGCCGTTCTTTCTCTACTCGATTAAAAAAAAAATCATTTTAATCCATTATCTTCAATTTTTAAATTATTAATTCGAAAATTATTAAGAGGATGACCTTACCTTAGAAAATATCACAAGCACAAATTAATCGCACTAACACTTGATCCATCATTACGTGTTATCTGTTCAATTGAACAAATTTCTCTCATCATTAATCGTGTAATTTCCACTGTTATTTCCAGATTTTGGGGATCTGTTTCGCTCAAAATCTCCGAGCAGACATATTCGCTCAGAAGGCAAAGTGGCATTGACAATTCAGAGCCCCCACGGCAGTCTAGCATCTTATCCTAATAGATGCTAATCAATTGCGTTGATCGATTTGGGATAATCGTCCAAGTTCTCGATAAATAGGAGACCTTTGACGTGAGAATCGACACCATTCCACGCGACACCAGGATTCAGAAGAAGATCACGAAGAACGAAGTCTGAACGAAGTCGACACGAAACATTTCTTTCATCCGCCGGTTGTTAAAAAAGAAAAGAAAAATATCGAAGATTTTCCGCACTTTTATCTTCGTCGTTTCCCATAAATTATTCGGAAATAAGATATTTCGAAATTTGATCGCACACGTGGTGATCCGTTTTCATTTTGTAAATTAGGTATAAGCGTTAATGACGAAGCTGCGAATTATGTTTAAGCGAGTGTATACGGTTTCACAATTTTATTGATAATTACGATGAATTATCGTTATTATGTTGTCGAGAGACAATGTGTATCGAACTGATACAGCTGTTTCGTTTATTTTATGACGACGACACAATATAGCGTAATACTTGTTGCATATTCTGTATTTTTGTCGTAAAAGTAGCGAGAGAAAATGATTTGGTTTTCGTTTCGTTGTCGCAATGAAAACGATAATTTCTGATAAGTTGAATAATTTCATCATTTTTCTATAATTAAGTATATAAAATGATAAAATAACACTCTGTGTTCAGGTATAAAGATAATTTTATAACATAATGTTATGAAATTGTGATTTGTGATCATATCGTTAAATCATTTATCAAATATTATAATGGCAAATGATAAGGAAAAAGGAGAAAATTAAAAGAAAATTACTTTGAAGGAACAAATTGATTTTAAAATAATATTTTCGATAGTTATAATATAACACGTGGACAGTAAGCATATCTTACGACGAAAATTAATTAAAATAATTAATTATTTCATTCGACAAACGAAACAAAGAAAGACACGTGTACAAAAACAATTATAACGCGAATGTGTTTATATATATATATTCGTGCGACACCTATGGATAATTCTATAATTCAAAATACACGAAAATCGACATATACAAAAATTTCGATTGAGACTCGTTCAAAATTTTGAGTATTACAAATACACAAATATGAGAATACTTGAGATTTAAAGAACCAAATTATCGAATACTCATTCGATTGTTCTAATTCACGTTCATGTTCGACAAAATTCATTTCAAAATACATAGGATACTTTCAAGAATTTAATCCGATCCGATATTTTCAAGTTCTTGAACATCTTTAATAAGTAATTCAATGCTTATTTAGATTCTCGAATCTCGATATTTATATGTCACAGGATACTTTTGAGACATTTTCAAGTTCTCACACACGCCTCTAGCGAGTATTCGACGAAGCTCGTCTCGAAACACGACGTGAATTCTTTTAATCAATACATTTGTATATCACAACATATTTTCAAAAAAAAAAAAAAAATTTCCAAAAATATTTTCAAATTCTCGTACATCTTTATATTTATATTATTATCTAGAATCAATCCTTCAAAGGTATCTCACGAATATATCAACATTACGTACACATTCGAATATCGATGCGCAAAGACGTGATCGATCTCAAAAGATTGTCGTTTTGTTCTGAGGAAAAATGCCGATGAGTTCAGATAAGCGAAAGAACGAAGAGTCAATTGATCAATGGAGAGAGAACGAAGAAAACGGAATGTTCCTTGCTCGGTTTACGTCGTACAATGGTGTCGAGGTATTAAAGTCGATTGACGCGATGTCGTGGGGGCGCGGTGAACACGGCCGACTTCACCGCACATTAAAGTCTCGTGATACGAGGGGTAAAGCCATACAATACGCGAGTGTACACAATAACTTTCCAACTTGCTCCAATTGGTCGTTAAAATGGTTGCTCGAGCATATTGATCCCGCGTTACACGCCGACACGTTCCCTCTGTCGATAGGTTAGGTGCCTGTTGTATCGTATCTCGTCACGGTTCAACCCGGTTCAGCACCGATCGATCGGGAACGAAAGCTGGGTGCTAGTTGCTCGATTCGAGTTCGAAAATACTGGATTTTTCCGAACGTTGTTACCAACGTTCCGATTTGTTCGTTAATCGTCGACGTTGCATTTAATAAATGCGTGGCTGTGTGTATAGATTGGGATAGAATTGCTGGAAACGGTGGATCTCGATAATCAGATGATTATATCGCATGGTTGTACGATAGCGACTTGATAATGATGAAAAAAAACAGTATATGGGTATTAATTATTGAAACATTTCGCAAGTAATAATTTTAATTGTTTGAAGTCACTTCCGATGTGAATGAAATAAATTGAAATGAGAATAATGGAAACAGAGTTGAATAAACTAGAAAAATAATTATAAGCGCGAAGGATTAAAGATTATTTATACTTTTGAAACAGAATTAATTTACGATGATTATAAAATTGCAAAGAATTCTTTTTTATTATGAAAGATTAATCGATAATATCAGACTGAACTATCATATTCTCCCAGAGTAATGCGGACAAAAAATTTAGAATCAAACAAATTTTTTTTATTCAAGAGAAATTAATCTCAATTAAAAGAAATTATCCTGGAAATTATCCTGCGAATAGTAATTATTCAATTAAAAATACACATAAGTAATTTTTATCAAAATTATGCTTTTAAAATGATATTACTTGCGAGATGATTTAATAATTTCAATTAAGTATAAATGTTAATTAATGAAACTTGTCTCAAGGCACGTAATAATATCGAGATAATGAAATTACTTGATATTAAGTTATAACCTTTACTCTTTTTATATACACTACGTACATTATGTGCTTCCATCGAGACGCGTCTTGCCAAGGTCTAATGTTATTAGCCGCGGCTCATGCCTCGAGACAAGTCTCACGGATCATTTTACAATGTATTGATTCAAATTGATGATTTTAACTGATTATTAAAAATTAAACGATTGTATTTTTTTATATTTTATTTCTTTTTCGCATTTCAAACGATTGTATTCCACTCTGTACGCAACTTTCCTCGATCGTTTAACAAACAGAGAAAATGTCAGTATATCTCGAAAAATAACGAGCACAACTGGTGACTAATAGTATTATATACATATATTCGCCGATTCAATTTTTTTTTTTTATTTTATCCTTCGAAATTCTTACTCTGTTGATTTTTTTCCTCTTGATTCGAATCAATCAAACTCGTGTAATCTTTTTTCTTGCGAAATTTATTTTATATATAATTACCTATATATATCTCCTCTCTCTCTCTCTCTCTTTTTCTCCTTTAGTTTATTAAACAGCGCAAATACGCTTAATCAATACACATTTGCTTTTTGGATGGAAAAAAAATGAAATTGGATTATTAATTATAAAATAAGAATGCCATGCTTCTTGTAAATATTCAACCCATACATTTGTACATATATCCGTACGAACGTACCAAACGGAGTCTTCATACTTTTTTGCGTTCCTAATCCGTATGCGAATGGATAAAAAAAAGAAAGAATGAAGGAAAGATATAAAACTTTCTATAAGTAAATGAAAAAAGAGAAATAGATGTTAAGACGAGAGAATTTTTGATCGTATAATTTTAAAAGTTTCATATCTATGTTAAAAATATAGAATTTCTTTAAAATTTTAGTAACCTTTTTATATAATAAATACATTATCATTTTAATTTTACACACGTGTTAAAATGTAACAAGCAATAAGTTATATTTTAAAAAGAAACCATTTGTTCAATTCAATCATTCCAAGAAAATATATAATAATTTACAGGTATTATAAAATCAATGTAATTAATTAATGCAAAAAATAATATTTTATATTGCGCATAAATAATGCTTCATAAGGCATATACATATAGATATATACATATATATATATTTCAAAACATTAATGTTAATAATGAAAGAGAGCACGAATACAAAATAGCGAGAATGACAATCATATTGAAAATGCAAAAGCAAAATTATATAATTTACAATATTTTGCAACAATTGCATTAATTGCGTACATACTTTTAACCAATTTTAACCACTTGCACGAAACATTGTGCATCTCGCATTGTGATTAAACTTAATTAATTTCATTCAAAGAGAAATTCATTCTAATTCTAGTCCGTCCGTTTGGTACATCAATTTCGGATATAAATTCAACGTTTTAATTAATTAATGGGACGCGTCGGCAAGACACGTTGGTCCAATCTCTCTCTGTAAAATCTCAAAATTACATTCTATTTTGACGGAAATTACATTTCAGAAAAGTGATAAATATCGATCAAATAAATCAGTCACGAAATATCTGAATATTTCAAGACCAAATTTATCAAGAACAAATTTCATTTTTATTCACAAAGGGATGTTAAGCAATTCAACAATTCAGAAAAATTGGAAACTTTACACGATGGGAAAATTTATTAATTTTTGGAGGAATAGTTTCGACCCATGAAACCCATGAAATGAAATCCATTTCTAATTCGAGACGAAATTTTCTTATTAATTTGTATTTATTATGTGAAAAATTGTTATGTTTTTTTTCTGAATTTTTGACTTGCTAAATTTTTCCTTTATCAATTTAGCAAAAAAACAACAATTACATGAAAGTATCGAGTCCAAACTAGTGATAGCATATAAACATATGAAGCGGCTGGCCCGCATACGTGAAAATGTTTTCAGTTTCGATGAAAATACTCTTTTATAAAGTGGAATATCAAGAGGTGTACGTTCAATCTTGATTTTCTTGTTCTTTCCTCAAATAATTTTTATACGAATATACATATGTACATATACATTAAGATGGTTCTTACAATACGGTATAAATGAAGATTTGTATGGAAAATTTTTTTTCTTTCAAAACTTGTACGATTGTTGTAACCTGTGAATAAATAATATCTGAATATTATTCATGATCGATTGGATAATGATAAAATGTGTTCCAAAAACGTGATATTTTAAACATAAATTTAAAATATCGATATTTTGATATTTTTGTTGCTCGTACTGTGTATGGATAAGAAATTTTAACTGTTTTACAGGTTTTAACATTTTCTTAAGGCTATAATTTTTCAGCCTAAATTGTTCAGCCCTAAATTAAATTGAATTTTAATATGGGATATATTAACACTTTCGTAGTCTTTCGATTTTTTTTTTAAATTTTCAAAAATTTATATAGTGCCAGACTTTAAAATTAAAATTATCAAAAAAAAAGATGAAAAAAAATATTGTTTATTGATTGCAATCATTGTTAAAATTACAAAATTACATTATCGATAATTAACTTGATTATAATGATGCTAATTACATATAGACATTGTAAATTGTAAATTGTTGAAAAGATATATGTAGTTAAAATTACATCAGAAACTACGAATGTGTTAATATAAGATTATAATATTAATCAATAATATTAATATGTAATTGCAGGATAATATTTGTTACAAAAAAAATTATCGATATTCTCTAAATCAAAAAAATTCCAGATGAATTTTCGTATTCTATTATTTTGAAGTTGTTTTATCTCAATATTGTACAAATTTTTAATTTAAGTTTTTTAAGTAGTAAATTTTTTTCATTATATTTGTTACTACGAATGTCAATATATAACATTAAATCATATGTATATCAATATAATTAATAATATAGAAAATTCATTTCATTCTCTCATTTTTTATATTATTATCTTTGATATCATATTATATTATACAGAACAATACATATTTTGTTTTATATTTAGATTTATATATTATATCAATAATATAATTGCAAAAATTCAGAATGAACTATTTACACATTAGAGAGGGAAAAAAATAATAAATATCTAAATACATACAAATAATTCATATAAAATATTATAAGTTAACAATAGCTATATAAATTTTTTTTTGGTATTTAATACTTCATTTTTTCTTATGAATTTAATATCGTTTTATCTTCTACAACTACTGCCTTCAAAAAAAGACAAAGAAAAGATTCCCATAATATACAATATATATACTTTGTATAATATATCACACATATAGTAAATAACTTATACACAAGAAATATATGTCAGTTATTTACTGAGATTATTATAGTATATACTCAATGTATGTATCAAATAAATTATTTCGTATAATTTCAATCATTAATAAGTTATACTTTTAAACTACAAATGTTATAAATGTTCAATAGTTTTCATTCAAATGTGATAAACCGTGATCATGAATTGTTTTATAATTAAGCAACTTAGAGGAAAAATGGTACAAGTGATACTATATTTAACTCAAGGAAACTGTGGATAAAGTTAAAGATTAATCAAAAAAAAAATTTGTATATTTTTTCAAACACATTAAAATACAATTTCTAAATATTATCACTATCATTGTAAAACACTATACCATTTTTTTCTCTATGTATATTTCAAATAAAAAAATAAGTATTTGCAGATATTATTTCTCTGGAAAACCAATCGATTATATAATTGAATATTTTAATTTCCATGTGTTCAGTGAAACTCGTAATTGTTTAATCATAATCAAATAAAAGGAAAATAATAAATTATATGCTGATATCTTTGATAAATCTATATAATTTTCATCGTATTAAATTAATTTATTAATCAGATTTATATATGCTTTTGCGAGATATACTCTGTTTAAAGTAATAAATATGTATGTATGTATTTACTACGCGTTTTCATATATTTTCATATATTATGTCAGGCCAGATGCACACAGATATTATTATGAATAAGAATAATATCTTTTTGATATCTTTAAGTCTAAATTTCACAGCCATTACCTCGATAATATCGCAACGATAAAAATCTATCTGCATTGAATTTAAAAAATTATTTTTTAAATAAATTAATACTTTGAGAAAAAATTTTCATTTTAATAGATAAATTATTTGATAAATTGTTAGATTATATTATATCAAAATCAGCAATAATAATAATAAAAGTTGTGCTGAATGCAGATTTAGAAATATCCAAATAATATTTCCTAATATACTCTATTCAATGCAATATTTTAACTTAAACTAAATTCGATATAAGAAAAGAAAGTATATATTTGAACAAATTGAACATATTAAATGAATAAAGTATTCTTTACTTCAAATGTGAAAAAAATCAGATTTTAATCTTAACAATTGCATATTATGTTGCAATTATTATGTACAATGTTTCCTTAATTAAGAAATAATAAGATATTACATACGTTTTATATTTTACGTTTTATATTTTCAATTTTTATTTTAATAAATTATATTGTTCCCAAGCTTTTTGTTGTTGCCTTATTTCTTCTAAAATTGCTACGTTTATTTACGTTTATTTACTTAATATTATTGTTTGTTTCTTTTTTTTTTAATAATTCGATCAAAATATCAAAGACTTTTTCGTTTTAATTTTTATGCATAATGTATTATTTTAATTATCTTTTCTTTAAGCTCAAAATAATTAATTTATTTTTATTTCAGTTTTTTCATTCACAATTATTGTTTTGTGAAGGAAAGAAAAAAAGAATGTTTATAAAACATCATGTAAATATTGTATTGTAATTTAAAGGTAAGAAAATAATTAATCGCTTGACCAATACAATTAATATGCAAGAGATTATATTATTATAAAACGTAAAATTATTGCAATGTCGGCTATGATAAAATTTTTTTTTAAATATAGAAGTAAATATTGTCATTATATAAATAAATTAGCGTGCCAAATGTTTTTAATTAAAGATTCATTTGTAAATTGATGTGATATTCTTCAAAATTTTATAGAAATAAAAATTTCATGCAATTATTATTAAAAAATAATTCTACATGTACATAAGTAAATATATATATTTGTTTCTCTTCGTATTATTATTCGTAATTTTGTGAAATATTTTGAAAATATATAAAATAATTACATTTTTTATTATAATATTATATGAATGTATGAATAATATTTAAAAATGAATATTTAAAAAAAATATATATATAAAAACTTCACTCAAAATTTTATTATATTTGGATGAAATACTTAAACATATAAAATTTTTACATAATAATATTTACTTAAATAAATTTTTTTACAAATTTTTTCTATTAAATTATATTTAAAATATTTATCTATAAGAAATATGCTTAAGAAATATTTTCAATATATGTCGTATTAATTCATATTTCATATTATTATTTAAAAATTGATCTTTTAAATAATACAGTGTATAATAGTTATGTATAAAGATGTATTGAAAGTTATAAATAATTATTATAATAATTATTTTTATCTATAAATTATTCTTCATGAAATCATTATATGATAAAAAATTATTGTAAATGTATAAACTAAAAACTGCTAACAGAAAGTTCGTCATTTTTAAAAATATTCAATGAAATATTTTTACATAAATTTGGATTTAATTAATTTCATTAATAAAGAAAATATGATTTTAGAGAACAAATTCGAAATAAATCTTTAATCTTAAATTTACTACAAAATATCATATTATATTGCATTATATAATATTTCTTCTTAATACTTAAAGTTTTGTTAATTTTGCAATAATTTTATATATAACATAAAAGTAATCTAAAAAGAATTTACTAAATATATTATATATATATATATATAATATAAATTGAAATAGTATAAATAAAATTTTAATAAACAAAATATTGATTTCTTGCTAAATATAATCAAATATTAGTATAGTCTAATCAAATGTCTTTATTAATGTAATATAAAGTTCAATAAAAACATTTAAATATTAAACTATTAGTTAGAAATAAAAATAATAAAATGGAAAAAATATTTAATGTAATTGTAATGTTTTGCGAATCATTTACATTTTCATATATGTATATTATAGTTTTAATAAGAATTACAATAATCTTTTGTACACTGCCATTATTGTGTTCAATTTTTTCTTTTTTTTTCTTTTCAGTTAAGCTATCTGAGTAAGCTATTATTCAATATTGTAAAACTATACATATGTAAAATAGATATTAAATAATGCGTATTTTTAAATGTAATAATTGTAAGTGATTGATGTACATAAACCTGTATACTTTTTGCGTAATAATTAAAATGTTGCTGTAACATTTTCTATGGATAAATTGATATTTATACATATATTGTCATATAAACTAAATAAAAAAAATTATCATAATTATGGTTTTCAGAAGTCTATTTAAGAAATACTATATATTACTTAGATCCTATCTAATTTAATGATTTTTACATTAACACTCAATTAAAAATGTTTTATAAAAAATATATGAATTTTATATAGATCAATCTGCTGCAAACTGGAAACAAGACAATGCACACACAAAAATTGAAATTTTTTGTATCCTGTTTCAAACAAATCGTATATAATGAGAAAAATGAAAATTAAGTGTAAAATTTGTGATTAAAAACACTTTTAAATCATATATATATATAGCTATTTAATTAAAATATTAATTTATTTTGTTAAAATCTAATATATGTTATAATAATTATTTTTGTTATTGATTCTATTATTTTTTATAGGTATTATCAATTGAAATATTTATTATATATATAGTAATCTCACAATCAGACAATATTTAATATCTCTTCCAAAAAATTAATATTTTTTTACAAAAATTTATAGTACTGAACAATAAACTTATAAATTATAATATAATATAATAAAATGATACAAATCTTCACATATATTTTATCTTTATTCAAATTCCATCTTCTATTCTTCTTTAATAATCTCTTTTTATTTGGCATAATCTTTTTTTTTTCCTGCGAAGAATTTCTCGAAATAGGAAACAAATAAAAAATTCTTATAAAAATCATAAAAATGATCATCGATAATAATAATAATACTTTGATGTAATTTAACTTTGATGTAAACACATAATCGGTTAAGAGATATTTATCATTTTTTTTTTCCTTTTCTAAAATACAAAAATGAATGAACAAGCAATGACATACAATTTTAATGCAATAAAAAGTTACGAGATACCTTGTTCATGGTATCGTATAAATTATATTGTATTGCGAAATATCTCATCCGTGGCGTGTTATAAAATACATTATATCACGAAATTTCTCGTCCAATGAAGTCGTTATAAATTGTATGGTGTCGTGAAGTAT